GAAAAAAGCAGAAGTGGTGCTGTGGCTCAAGTGGTAGAGCGCTAGCCTTGAGCTGAAGAGCTGAGGGACAGTGCCCAGGCCCAGAGTTCAAACCTCACTATAGACAAAAAAAAACAAAGTGCCCAGAAACCCAGAGAAGGCCGGGGTGTGGCTCAAGAGGTGAGCGGGCAGAGGCAGAGCGGGAGCGCAGCCAGCCGGGCCACAGTGGCCTGCGGTCTCTGGGCAGCCGGTTCTCAGTGCCGTTATTTCTTCGTGTTGCGGAGGAGTGCTGTGTAGAAGGCCCTGGCTGGGAGACCCCGGTCCAGCCGCCCCCATTCCCTCACCCTGGGGTGAGGCTGGGGATGGCCAGTCAAGGAGGGGTCTGTCTGAGGAACCCTGGGTTTTGTCATGCTGGTGGCCATACGCAGTGTGTGCCTCGATTTCCCCGTTTCCCTCGCCAGTCCTCCGCTGCCTCTCTTTCAGAAAATCAACCACTTCCCTGGTATGACGGAGATCTGCCGCAAAGACCTGCTGGCCCGGAACCTGAACCGCATGCAGAAGCTCTATCCCACCGAATACAACATCTTCCCCCGGACCTGGTGTCTCCCGGCAGAGTGCGTGAGCCTCACCCCCCCCCCCACCGGGACGTGCGGGAGAGAGGGGGCGGACGGGCAGGGGTCCCCTCCGGACCCTCCGGACCCCTGCAGACACACGAGGGGTGTGTCTCAGAGGGTGGGAAGCAGGAAGCCCTCTCCCTAGGACAGAACCTCTGACCAGCCCCTCCCTGCACACAGCTACGGCGACTTCCAGTCCTACGGGCGCCAGCGGAAGACCCGGACTTTCATCTGCAAGCCAGACAGCGGCAGCCAGGGCCGCGGCATCTTCATCACCCGGAGCCCGCGGGAGGTCAAGCCGGGGGAGCACATGATCTGCCAGCAGTATATCTCCAAGGTCAGGGGGCCTCAGAGCCCACCCTTCCCCAAGGGAGGAGCCAGGTCCCCCCTCCTGTGCCCCTGGCTGCGCTCACCACCTTGGGCTGGAGCCAGCGGGATTCACCGCCATCCTGCTCTGGTTGGATCTCTAGTTTTCCCAGTTCCTAGTTGTTTTGGGGGGAGGGGTTCTTACCCACTTTCTGTGGCCATCACAAGGATTCCTGGCATCGTCGTGTCATTACGATGTTCCTCGTGCACCTATCGTGCCTGTCGCTGCGCGGTTACTGACTGCGAGCATCCGCGAGGTGGCACTCAGTAGGGACTGAGCAGTTCAGGACGTGCTCTTTCCCGTGGGTTTGCCTGCTCTCAGCCCTTCCTCATCGATGGCTTCAAGTTCGACATGCGGATCTACGTCCTGATCACATCCTGTGACCCTCTTCGCATCTTCATGTATGAGGAGGGCCTGGCCCGCTTTGCCACCAGGCCCTATGTGGAGCCCACCAATAACAACCTGGTGAGGACAGGCTGCCGCCTCTCCCTCCACTGTGGCGGGGGGGGGGGCAGGGGTTCCAGGGAGAACTGGCAGCATTGAAATCCCAGGAGGTGCCCAGCACCCCCTTCCCCTGCACAGCTGCTGGGGAGGGGGCTGGGGCTGGGAGATGAGAGGAAGAGAGGAGGAGTGCCCAGCAGCAGCCTGAGCCCACCAGGCCACTCCCTTCCTCCCCCCCCCCCCGGGGCAGGAAGATGTCTGCATGCACCTAACCAACTATGCCATCAACAAACGCAATGAGAATTTTGTCCGGGATGACTCCATGGGCAGTAAGAGGTACCTTCTCCATTTCTCCTTCCTGTGCCCCTAAGCCCACCATTCCTGGATCCCATGAGCGCCTGGCTGGCTTTCAGCAGGCTGATTGCCTAAAAACACACTGCCTTTATAAGCCTGTCCTGTGCCTGAGCTCTGAGCACAGACCGTCGCTAATAAACCCGGCAACTGCCCCCCCCCCCCCCTCCCCCCCCACCCCCCCCCCCTCCCCCCACCCCCCCCCCCCCCCCCCCCCCCCCGGCTAGCGCTGCCCTTGAAAGCAAGGGTCCGTCCCAGGGAGCAGCCACCTGCGGCCAGGCCCCGCTGGTAGAACCTGACCTTCCTCTGAGCACTGGGCCTCCCAGGAAGCTGTCGACGCTCAACGCCTGGCTGCAGGAGCATAGCCATGACCCTCGGGAGCTGTGGGAGGACATCGAGGACATCATCATCAAGACCGTCATCTCGGCCCACCCCGTCCTCCGCCACAACTACCGCACCTGCTTTCCCCAGTACCTGAGCGCAGGCATCTGTGCCTGCTTTGAGATCCTTGGTTTTGATGTCTTGCTGGACCACAAGATGAAGCCGTGGCTGCTGGAGGTGGGCTTGCTCTCCCGGGCTTGGCCTGACCAGGGTCCAGAGCCCACCCCGAGCAGGAGACCTGTGCACGGGTGCCCTGGGGTGGTGGACAGGGGAGGGATGTGAAAGCGCTGGCGTGGCCTCCAGTGCCAGACCTGCCGGGGGGGGGGGCGCCACGGCTGCGCTTGGAGGGACTCTTTCTGCAGTCCGGCTGTTTGCAGGGCCCAGAGTGTCCCCCCCACCTGGAGCTCGGCCTGCAGGACCCCCCCCACCGCCCAGCCTTCTCAGGCGGTCTGCAGAGGGGTGGATGACGGCTCCTCCGGCAGGTAAACCACTCTCCGAGCTTCACCACGGACTCCCGTCTGGATCGAGAGGTGAAGGACGCGCTTCTGTGTGACTCCATGACGCTCGTGAACCTCCGAGGCTGTGACAAGAGGAAGGTGCTGGAGGAGGACAAGCGGCGCGTGAAGGAGCGGCTGCTCCAGTACCACCTGCCGCTGCGGGAGAACAGGTGCGCCAGCCCCGCCCCCCCCCAAGGGAGGGCCACGTGGGGGGCTGATGACCTATGATGATGTTGTTTGCATAACTGACTCACATCTGCATCGATAATAAGTCCTATACGCAGCAGCACGTCCACGGTTCAAGTAACACAACCACCAGCCTTTCCCCTGCCCTTCTCTCTTTCCCCTACCCTTCTCCTCCAGCTGCCTATTTTTTCTCTCTGGGGCCAGTCAACAGTCTCAGTGTAAAGTTTAAACCTGCACACACATGATGCATTTGTTGAAAATAGTCCTCTCCCTCTCTGACTGGAACATGGTGTAATTTTCACCCTGTGTTCTGCATGCTGATGTATTCCAGAACTATTTTCATATCAGCACGAGAAGTTTTATGTAGCCAGGTGTGGTGGGTGGTACACACCTGATAAACAGACACTGGGAGTCTGAGGCCAGCCTGGGCCTCAAACTACACAGTGAGCGTCATAAGCAAGCATTAAAAGATATTTGTAGCCAGGCACTGCTGGTTCACACCGGTCATCCTAGCTACTCAGGAGGCTGAGATCTGAGGATCAGGGTTTGAAACTAGCCTGGGCAAGAAAAGTCTGAGACTCTTACCTCTGATTAACTGCAAAAAGCAAGAAGTGCCAGGCATTGGTGGCTCACGCCTGTCATCCTAGCTACTCAGGAGGTTGAGGATCTGAGAAACATGGTTCAAAGCCTTCCCCAGGCAGGAAAGTCCGTGAGATTCTTTACCTCCAATAAACCATCAGAAAACCGGAAGTGGTGCTGTGTCTCAAGTGGTAGAGCACTAGCCTTGAGCTGAAGAGCTGAGGGACAGCGCCCAGGCCCAGAGTTCAAGCCCCACGGCCGAAAAAAAAAAAAAAAAAGAAAAACAAAATTCAGGACCCTCGGGATGGGTTCCGTTCGGAATTTGCTCCTGTGGATGCCACCTGGTCCTTGAAGTTGCATCTAGAGAAAAGGCACTTGTGTTGGGAACTTGTTGGGCGTCTCTTCTGCCCAGGACCTGTCCCCTCCCCTGCTCAGCCTGATTTCTGCTATTCCTCCATTCCAGACCCCTGACCATCAACCTGACCAACTGCAAGTATGAGAGCGGTAAGTGCCGGGCGCGGGCTCTGAGGGCTGGAAGGCAGTGTCGACAAGGACAACGCAGGCTTACGATCCCCACCCCCCAGGCCTCCTTTCATACCCAGCCCCTGGGGTTTGCCCTGTTTTGAGGTTCCTGGGTCTCCCTGCTGGGTTCCTGGTAGTTTGAACTCGTTTCAGGGGTAGCGAGGGTGCTGCCACAGTTAGCTAACAGGAAAAAAGAAACATGGGAGAACTGCTCTTGTGCCCGTTTTGCCTAGATTTCAATGGAGATGAGGCCAGATTAAAAGGCTTTTGCATTTTTTTTTTTTGGTCGGTCATAGGGCTTGAACTCTAGGCCTGGGCACTGTCCCTGCGCTCTTCAGCTCAAGCTGAGCGCTCTACCTGTTGAGCCACAGTGCCACTTCTGGTTTTCAAGTGGTTTATTGGAGACAAGAGTCTCACGGACTTTTCTGCCTGGGCTGGCTTTGAACTGTAGTCCTCAGATCTCAGCCTCCTGAGTAGCTAGGATTACAGACATGAGCCACCAGCACCCAGCCTTTTGCCGGTTTTTAAAAATGTGTTCCAGCGCTGGCTGAGGGAAGGGCTGCAGGTCAGTGGTGGAGTTTCTCTAGCATGCACAAGGCCCTGAGGGGTCCCCAGTGCCGTGAGCCAAACCAAGAAGACTCTAGTTCTTCTCATGGACTTTGAAGGCACATCAACAATTAAAACAAAAATTCCCGCTAGGCCGGGCTTCCCCTTCGTCCTCTCTTTCCACTCTGACATCAGTTGAGGGGTCGTCCACGCGGCCAGTCTGATCCCTACATAGGACACAGTCCTGGTCAAGGGGCAAAGGTCCAGACGCTTGTCTTCTTCACCCGATAGGGTAGAAGGGTCTGACGTGTATGGTGGGCGCCTGTCAGTTCATGAACTCAGAATTGAGAACTCCCTTTCGGCCTCTGGTGGTTCTGTGCTGTCCCTCCCATGAGCCGGCTGGAGTTCCTGGTCTTGTTGCGGGGGCCCGGGCCGCAGCACTGACGCTGCTGTCTCTGCAGTGCGGCGGGCAGCGCAGGTCTGTGGCCTGAAGGAGGTGGGGGAGGACGAAGAGTGGACCGTGTACTGGACAGACTGCTCCGTCTCACTGGAACGAGTCATGGACATGAAGAGGTTTCAGGTACAGCAGGCCCAGCCTGAGATCCGAAATGACCCGCCCCCACCCCTCCACCCTGGCACTTCCTGTGGCTACACTGTGTGCATCCGGGTCTTCCCAGAGACTCAAGGATCTACTGCTCCAATAAAACTGTTCTCTTGCTGAGCACATTCCGTGGGTGATTTGCTCTGCCTGCCTCCTGCAGGCGGGGGGGGGGGGTAAGGGGGGCGGGAGGGTGTAGCTCCGTGATGAGCACTTGCTTTGCATGCCTGAGCTCCTGGGTGTGATCCCGAGACACAGTAGCCAACAGCAAGGCCAGCTGGACGGTCCGGCTCCCCTCCCCCCCACCTCCCGACCCCCCATGCCCGGGTCAGTTTGGCCTCCCACAGCTATGGAGACATCAGGCTGGTGCAACGCTAGGTGGCACACAGACCTGTGGTAGTGTCATTGGCAGGCTGAGGCATTACATTCACAAGTCTGAGGTCAGCCTGGACTACGTATCAACACTCTGTCTCAAAAACAGAGCAGGGGGCTGGGAAGGTGGCTCAGTGGTAGAGTGCTTGCCTTGCATGCCTGAGGCCCTGGGTTCGATTCCTCAGTACCACATAAGCAAAAAGAAAAAA